ACTTGTTAATGAAGGACCAAGTCCATTGGATAATAAACAGACCTTAGCAGTCCCAGCTCCACTGCCCAGAATCAGCCACATATTTTCTAATCAGCCTACATTTTCTCCTCCAGATAATAAATCTTCAGGAATTGCTGGAGGAAGGTTCTATGTTCCTTTGGCGTTTCATGTGGTGGGTAGAAGATGGGCGAATCCAATTACAGGTAGCCCCAGATTTTCTTAGTCCTCTTTTTCTGAAAGAGGAAGAGCAGCTTAGGTTGAGTATAAAAGGTGTCAGGTACAGTGGTGGTGACTTACCTCATTAAATGCATCTTGCCTGTGGTCTCACACCATATGAACTTCTTTTTCTTAATTTATCTTTTCATGGCTGTCTGGTCATTTGTCATGTTGACAGGCAGTGGCCTCGTGAAAACATGAGAAGCTATTATCAGATCACTGAGGCCTAACAGAAAATGGAGAAAATGGTGAGAAACAGAAAACTGATAGTGTGCCTCTAAAACAAGGTATGTAGATAAAATGGTCATTGTGATTCCATAAAGATCTATTGCTTTTGTTTGTATTAAGCAGGTTCATCAACTGCAGCTTCAAAGAACAGCCTATAGCAACAAGTATTATTTAATTACAGGTAAGAAGGAAATAGGTGTACACAGGCTGCTGACTCTCCTTGAACAGAGCATACTGACGTAAAGGAAATGTAGATATATCAAGAGGAGTATAGAGGCGGTGGAAGCCATTCCTCTACCTAGATCCAGCAATGCTTTCTGTCATTAAAATGCATCCAACTATTTGTTTGATATCAAATGCCACATTAATGCCTAGCGAGAATGTTGTAGGGGGAAGTGTTTACCTCTGTTTTCCCCTGAAAGAGCTGGTGAAACATCAGAAAAGATCTTCGGGGGAAGGTGAATTATGTGGGGACCATCAGTAGTGCCTGGCCTACAGGAGAAGACTAAGAGACAATTTTCTGGGGAAAAAATACGTAAAGGAATATGTGTCTCAGTCTAACAGAAGATGCTCTTGTAAAGGATTCACTCACATCTTCACTGTGTCATATAAGGATAAATCTGCTAATTTAAGGAAGGGCTTATACAGTGTTTTGTAGGTGGGCAAAAGTAGGTTGCAGTGAGAGAAACAGCTGCAAGCAAAGGCAAAACCAGCATGAGGGTAACCCTAAAAATTGAAGGTGTTATGGTAGATGGAAGTGAGGAGTTTTCATTATGATTGAATATTAATTGGTGACATGGCTATTAATGATGACAGTAATTAACAGAGGAAGGAAGGCCTTGTCATTGTCCCCAGGGTGAGTAATCAGTCTTGGCAGGTGATAAATAATGGTTCAGCAAACTCAGCAGAAAGATAATCTGCCTGCCTTAGGACAACTGGAGAGCAGCTATAAAATCTTCCAGGCTCTTGGCAACATTCAGGAATTACTTCATATTTTTTAACAGAGACAAATTAAAATCCATGATCTCAAGTGTCCCTTATACTCCAGAGTGAGTGATTACAGTAGTCCTGGTTGAGTCAATGTTTTCAACTCGATGCCTTAAACCTCTCTCTTTAATTTTTTATTTTTTAATCTTAATAATATGGGGAGAAAAAAAAAAGCCTGATTAATGGTTTTCAGCATTTTCAGCATTCAGAATTTTTCATTGTAGTTTGTTGAAAATGGAATAGATCCCTCAAAAGGGGAGTGAACTTGGGAGCGTGACTGTTCTTTGTAAAAACAGAGTGAGACTTAATCCTGCAGAAAGTTTTTGTATGTCTGTAGAAAGGGATGGCTTACAATGCCCTTCCCCTGCTGTATTCTTGAGCAAGGCAAGGAGCTCTGTCCTAGGAGACTGTAAGAGCTAATACGATGACTAAAAGATAACCGCAAATCCAAGGACTGCAATCTGAGATCAAAATTTGAACAAATATTGGATTTTTCAGTTTGGAACATAGGATTCTGGTTTAGCCTGAACCAAAACAGAATTTTGTTTTTGTTTTGTGTATAGCAGCACAGAAGCACTTCAATTTGAATCTTCCTGAAATGGTTTTCTAACCCCGAATGCTTAGCTCAGCTCTCCACGAGTCCGAGCTCTGTAGCCAGTGAAATGGTATGCATGGTGTTTCAGAAGCCCTTTGGACCTGTGCTCCCGCCTGCCCAGTCCTGTGTCTGGGTTCACCAACGAAGTGCATCTCTTCTGCAGCAGAGGTGGTTCAAATCTGGCTGGCTCAAAGCTTGACTAAGCAACCTTGTATCTGCTAAAGTAATATCAAGAAAGTATCCCATATTTTGAAAGCACAGAATGTTGGGCATCGGTAAGTCAAGCCTCACTAAGCTTGGCTTATTGTACTAAATAGCGAAGCGCCGCAATTCATGATGAGAATCAATAAAGTCTGTTACTCAGCTGTGTAAAGTAATATTATTTCAATGGAAAGATGTCTGATTTCTTGGCTATACATTGTCTGTGCTTATGCAGGGTATGGGAAAATGTGCTGAAGCAGTTGTCAGTTAGGGCTCTTGAGAGGCGAATAACTCTAAAGCAGTTCAAATGTCTGCAGAGAATGGTCTCCTCCTGCCTCATCCATCCCAAGGAGGGTAGGTCGTCTTATAGAAAGAGTGAGATAAAATTTATTAACTGGAGAAATAGAACCAGGGAGAAATTTAACAGCCCATATGAAAAGTATACCTTCAGGGACTATTGTAAAGAACCTTTTCATAAAGCAAATAATGCTCAGTTGGAAGCAAGAGCAGAGAGGAGCAGTGTGTGTTGACCAATGCTAGGATAACTATGAATTATTAATGCTACTGAGCCATGAATAAACGAAGGTGATTTTAGGATGTGCCTGGCAAGCTGTTTTTCAGTAGAGACAGGGAGAGTGTTGGCATCAGTGCCAGAGGCATTGGTGAGAACCTCCTACAGGGCAGTGTGTGCAGTCCTGGTGACCCCAGTTCAAAGAAGTGTAACTTAAATTTGAAAAAGCACTGAGAAGGATGGTAAAGTAACTGGAGAGTCCATCTTAGAAAGAGATGAGAAGAGTTTGGTTTGCTTAATGAAATAGAGGTAGGGAGGCAATGTGTTAACCCTTTCTAGAAGTGTCCAGGAGCAATGATCAAGGAACAAAAATAATGCTTAAATGCTAAAAAGGGTATTATATCAAATGCATTATTTATATGCATTAATTATAAGTTGCCTATTAGACTAGAAATTGCAAGGAGAGTTCTATCAAAAGAAACAAAAAGAGGGAAAAAAAATCTGAAATAGCCTTTCAGATAGGATAGTGGCAACTAAAATTGCTTTTAAGAGGAGTTTGTAGAAAGGGTTGTGTAAGAGGAGAGGAGATAGGACCTTTCGGGCCTGTTTTGCTGGTACCTACAAACAGATTGATACAATGACCAGCTGCTGCTTGTTGGTCTTGTCCTTCTGCCTGCTTTTTAAGCTAAAGTAGGTGATGACCTGATCTTCAGGAAATTAGTTTGGCTTGTTTTGCGGTGATGGCGTGAGAAAAGGGTTCTGAGTGGGTCCATTTGTGCTGCTTGTGGAGCTGGGGCTGCCTTTTGCTTCTGTGTAGGGTATGATACCTTTTCCAGTGGGAATTTCACCTCTATGGCAGTCACCCAGAGCTGCAGATCTTGCAAGGACCTTGGCAATGCTGGTCTCTCTCTGTGTGGCACATCCTCGTTGCGACTTTTGGCCCTTGTTGTACTGAAGGTTTACTGAGGGGATGGGAATGTCCTGCAGTACTGTGGTAAGCGGGGACATACAGAGCAAAATGTTCTGTGGACATTTCTGGAATGAACTGTTAGAATGCTTCTTAAAGTACCTTCCATGCCTGGACTCAGAAGTGCCCCGTGCAAATATGATCCTTCAGGGTTTGTTTAGTCAGAGTGAACGCGTGGTGATCACTTCATGATGTATGCTATATTCAACTGATGCATTATCAAACACAATGCTAATTACTGGGCCTCGTAGCTTCCTGTGAGAGAGCACGTATTTCTCCACCAACGAAGATATGCTGAGCAGGACTTGGTTATCCAGACGTAGCGTTACTAACCTGTCCTGCAGACCACTGTAACTTAGACACTTGCTAAGATGCTGCTGACTGCTTGGCTTTGGGCAAGTCATATTGGCTGGCTTTTATACACTGGGTGCCCAGTCATCATTATGTTTGATTTTAAGATTAAGTATGAGACTTAAGCAAATTTTGTTGCTCCCATTGTGTCACATTTTGCTGATGTGTTTTAACTTCTAATGAAAATGTTTCCTACTTCTATGAGCTTCATGCAAGCAGCAGAGAGGTTGTAGAGAGGATCAATCCTAGAGATCTTTAAATGTTGTTGCTATCTTTTAAACAATTTGAACTACCTGATGGGACCTGAAAAAAAAATAAAAAGGAATAAATTGATTTACCTTAATGATTCAGTTCTGCCCCTTGCCACCATATAGCTGATGAGGTCACTAGCAAACAAGAACTCAGCAGTGGGTTGGTTTTATGCACACTTAATCTCACTTTCTTGCCCAAGACCTTGCTTGAGTCATTGACATAGTCTTTTCTCTTTCTTTTTTGACTGATAACTCAGTTCTGCACTTCTGGGTTTATTGTCTTTGACATTAAAGGTCAAAGATGCCAGTAAAGGGCTCCTCTGTCTCTTTGGTAGATAATGCTCTTGGAAACATAATTCCCTGTCTACTGATTTGAGAGAAAAATGACTAGGAGAGAACACCTTATATGGAACCATCAGGGTGTTGTTTGACTTAAAATATATCAAGTCTTCTATCACACAGAATACTTCTTTGGAATTCGTACTTCTAAGTAAGTTTTATGATTACAGTGTGGCTCAAGAAGGAAGAACATTTTAAAACCTCCAGTGAGGATTAAAATAATAAATAAATAAATGGGGAAAAAAAACATATTTAAATTCATGACAGTTCTTTTGTATCTCATTTTCATGTGATGTCTCCCCAGGACTTTTAATGTGGTCTTCGAAGTTTAATGTTTTTCTCTGTTTCTTGCAGGTGCTGACATCGTACAGTGGCTGATGAAGAACCTCAGCATTGAGGATCCAGGTATGGTGACCCAGGTTTGAGATAAGATGCTCTGCTGCATTCTGCATGCTGTTAGACAGTAGATACTATTTTGCTGCTGAATCTAAAACACCAGTAAAGCAGCAAAGTTGTTTTAAGCACTTGATGTGACGGAGGAGGAAAAGAGATAAGAATCACCATCTTAGTTCAGACTTAACTTTGTACTAAAACATACAGAAAGTTGTGTGTAGCCAGTCTGGGAAATTGTCACTGCATAAGAAAGCCTAGTTTATTTTAAGACTGTTCTTGGACTTAGAAACCGAGGTGATAGATGTGTATGGTTAAGCAAGGAACAGCAGTGACAGTGTTTCATAGTGCAGAGAAAGAGAGCTATGACTGGCAGGACATACTGGTTGAGGATGGCATAGACACTGACATGGATTGGGTGATGGCTGCTAATTTATCATGGAGGATTCATACACAGATAATAAACTGTGATTGGTGTATGGGCATCATCAATCACCAAATTGTTTGCTATTCAGAGCCACAAAAATCACTTTGGCACAGTTAAGAACTGCTGAGAAAGGACGAAGAACTATTGGTCTTGTGGGTCCGGAAGTTTCTTTTCCCTTCCTAGGAAGGGAGAAAGCCCAACATATTGCCTCCAAGCACTTTCCTGACGCATGCTGACCCTCAGCCGTTCCTCAGAGTTCACTAACCTCCTATCAGATCTCTAAAATCTAAGAATTGGCCTGTGAGTATTTGATCACAAGACGTAATCCATACCATATGGCTGCGCAGAGTGTTTGCCAAGGCACCAACAAGCTGCCAAGTTATCTCTCTCTCTCCATCCAGATGCAACTGTCAAGTTCTACCAAAATTCAGGCCTAGGAAGCCTTTTGCTGCTCCCAGTGTGTCTTTCACCATTTAAAAGTGGAGAGCGAGTCAGCATGGTCTCACCCACATCCCTATACACACATCCCTTCACGTGTGTCACACAAGCCCTAAAACAGAGTTTCAGCTGCAGACAAGAGCTTTATTATCGGCCTGGGGCACACAATCAGCTAACATGTATTTCACAACCCTGAGAACGTCGAAGCAGCTTTGACAGATGCCATCAGTTGAAAATCTGCACAGATATAGCTCTAGTGTGGTGTCCTGGCTGTGCTAGGGTATGTGCTCCCCGTTACCTCTGTGTCTTTATTTTAACAGATAGCAATTCTGCAGTGTCTTTACGAATAAGATTCTGCTAATCTTCTGATCTGGTGTTGCAGATGTATGTCTAATTTGGAGGGGGAAAGTGGGGTTCACTGATGCAACAGGCTCCTTGCTAGCTGTCACCTGTGGCAGATAATGTGCTTTGAGTTGAATTTCAGACTCTAGAGCTGAATAGGTGAGGAACGTTCTATCAATATTAGAGCACCAGGTTAAGCATTTGTTCAGTGTTTATGTGGTGAGGCTTATTTCTGCCCTCCTGTTTTGCATGATGTAGTTTGGAGGCATAAGCCTGCAGTGTGGTTACAAGGCAGGGTGTATGTGCTAGGTCTTACTGTGAGTCACCACCAGACCTGCTGCTGGAAGCCCAGAAGTGTGTAACACATGTGAATCCTGCTGACACATCCCTGCTGTTTTCTTATTTTCCTCGCTCTTTCACAGTGGAAGCAATACACTTGGGAAGTCTTGTCGCTGCACAGGGCTATATCTTTCCAATCTCGGACCACGTCCTTACTCTGAAAGATGATGGGACATTCTATCGTTTTCAGGTTGGTGAGCCCTCAACCTTCCACATGGCCCCTTTTGCTATCCCTGCAGCAATACCACTGAAATCTGCACACTCTGTATTTCTAAGCGGTGATTAGGACCACAGAGGCAGTGGATTATTTTTCAGGGATTACAGTTGTCTCAGGAAGTTCCGAAGTCCAATTGAAAAGGTCTGTTGCAGAATTGCAAAGCACCCTCTTTTGCTTCCAGGCCCTTACAGTTCTTACATAAATGAACAAATATGTCCTGTGATTATTTTTGACGTGTGATTTCAAGCATGGTATGTTCAAAGTTGAACTGAGCCAGTATTGAAACATCAATCTGTATCTTGAAGAAAATGGTTTTTTGCCTTCTAATTCTGGTAGGGAATGGAGAGCCTCTTTCCTGTGCAAAATGGACAGGGGCAAATTTGGGAGTCGAGCAGCCAAACTCCGGCACAACAGAAAAGTTATCCTTCCTTGGCTGCGGGTTCGCTAGAGAAGGCACATGCTACTAGCTTTGGCTTTTCTGCCAACAATATGTGACCTTGGCAAAATCACCTGGCCTGGGTCGCCGCTGTGCCTAGGCGTCCTTGTGTTCGCAGATATGTTGAATTTTTAAAACATCCTCTGCTTGGGTTCCATGCCCTTTCCAAAATCTGCTGCTATGGTATTCCTAGCTAACTGAGTGCTTGTGTTGCAACTCCTTTTAGGTTGTCTAACTTTAAAAGTAGTGATAACTTCAAACCTAGAGTCCTCCTGAATAATGTTCCTAGCAGAATTTGTTTTCCGTGTGTTGTTATATGATATCCATATCAGCTCCCATATCTTTCTGGTGATCTTCCCTTTTGTTCACTCTTCCTCCTTTTTCTTTGTTTTTCTATTTTTTAGTTTTTTGTTCATTTGTCTTTGCTTTTGAAACTTGCGTTTTGCATCTGATGTTTTTGCCGCTCACACCCCCTGTCAACCCATACGAGACCTGTGACACAGCGGGGGAAAAAAAAGGAGAGATCACAGCCCTTCTCCTTTCCTATAGGACTTGGCAGAAGCAGGGTAATGCCTGTCTAGTTATATTTTTCTCTGTTTTAAAAGAAATACTCCATAGGAAAGATAAGTTTTAAATTGTCCTCTGCAGCTCTTAGCCCTATTTCAAAATTTCAAATTCTCTTTTTTCCTTATTTAAGCCCGTATAAACTACATCTCCCACTTGTCTTGACTGCCATTGACTTTCTTTTTCTTCTTCTTATATTTTCCAGAACTTTTCCTTACTCCTTGTCTGCTGTCAATTTTTGCAACAATTTTCTTCAGCCATTATCTACAAAAGTAACCTGATAGAATCATTTTTTTCTTCCATTACCCTTTTTTTGCTACATTCTACCTTGCCATCCCTCCTTCCTTTGACAATAACTCATCATCTCCTAAAGTTCATGAGATACCTATCAGTGAGAAACCTGGAACCATGTATGATTTGATCCTTCTGTGTTTCCTCGCTGTGCTTTGGTGCAAGGAGTGGTCTTTGTGTGTAATGGCATGTAATGTCTTAAGCCAGTTAATGTCATTACATCACTAATGCAAAACAGCGTTCTGCAATTTGTGTAATCACAAGGACATTATTTTTCATTCATGTTAAAGCTGAAATACAGCCACGATGTAATAATATTTCATAATTGATTGTGGCAACTACAATATGCAGACCCGGATAGGAAACAAACCCAGTAAGCTTAGCAGGAATTCTGCTTTCAAAACGACTCTAATCAGCTGAGTTCTGAACTCTGCTGTCTTGTTTGTTTAAGAAGGAAATTGTTTTGTAGGCTGCCAACCACACTGGTAGTTGCTCCAAAAAACTAAATGGTGTGTAGTGTGTACAAAAGGCCACAAGGCTCATTCTCACGGTCCTAAGAAAAGATTCAGGGTGCATGTGAATTCCTGGGGAGAGGGGAGGTTCTGGGGATAGAAGATAGGCCTATATTCAGATGAGGTGGCAGTAGTATCTAAAATATTGTCAGGGTACTGTACATTCTGAATCTGTGCTTTAATAGCAATCTGTAGCAATATCTAAGCAGAGACCCAGCCCTAGACTTTGTGATTGTTCTTTTTGTATTTGCAATGTTATTCTGCATCTGAATTTGTTTTTCCTTAAATTATTAAATTATATGTGCTGTTTCTTCAGGCACCATACTTCTGGCCTTCAAACTGCTGGGAACCAGAAAACACAGATTATGGTGAGAACATTATTATTTTGTTGTAGAATTTTTATTATTATTATTATTATTTTCAGAAAGCATATGATGGAAAACGTCCCGGAAATAATTATTTATTGGTCGTCAAACCTGTTCAGTGGGTCTTGTTTCTTGCAAGACTGCAACATAAGAGGCAGATTTGTGCTAGGCTCACATAAAATCAAATCCCAGATTCACTGAAGTCCATGGGGTCTTAGCCATTGAGTTCAATGGGGCCAGGATTTTATACACTGCTACCTCAGTTCTCAGACAGCTCTGTTCATTTCAGCAGTATTTATGGCAAGCTGTATATTGGTCCTTGGGAATTTTAAGTAATACCAGTATTAGCTCTGGGGGGTGACATACTCTGATCTGTAGCCGAATTTGATATGTTCATCAATAAGAAGTTACCTTATCTGGACACTCATAAGGCTGATCAATAATCCAGTATCTAACTGATGACAACCTATAGTTAAGCTACTCTGATATATGACATCAGACATATTTACCCCCCCCCCCCTTTTTTTAAGATTACCATTTAAAAATTGGTTTAAAAAAAGAAGAAAGATGACTGAGCATGTTTTATGAGCTAATAAACTTTACCATGCTGTATTAAACATTTGAGTGGCTGCAGACAGTGATAATACATAAAGAAAACATGTCCGTGTTATCTTTAGCTGTCTCCATGCACTATTACTGTTCCTTCCAGAACTACCTGTCTTTCTTCGTTAAGTGATAAAATCAATTGTTTTATCCTGGCGCGGCATTAGAAGAGGAACTGAATCCATGTGTCTGCTCATAAACCGGGAACTTTTGGAAGTGCTTCTTTTAAAATAACTCATAATCTAAGATCCTCAAATAATCATGTTTTTCATTCTCAGACAATAATTCCTCATCTTTATGGGTTCTGAAAATTATTTGCTGGGGTGGAGGAGGTGCCTGCAATGGTGTCTATCATGTGCTAGTTCATTTGCAATCCTCATCTGCAGTGGAAGCCAGTGCAGTCATAGAGCATTTGTCCCCATGAGGGACTGCTTAGGAGAAAACATGGAAATGGTCATTATATGGAAAATAATTTCCAGAGATTTTACAAACATCCCACATACATAAGCACACAGCCTGAATTATGCGAGAAGTATTTCCTAGAAATGCCAGAATAGCCATCTGGGGCTGGATAACATGTTGTTCCCTACAGTGCGTGATAAGTAACTGGGCTTCACACTTAGGTGGTTGTGCTGCAGAGACATTGAGGGAACAACACACCTCAAAACCAAGCCCTGTATGAGGTAACTCACAGCTGGAAGAGCTGCAGCTGCATTTGCTGTGAGCCACATAGTGACAGCTTTTCACCTATCCTAGAGATCTCTAACATATGTTTATGATCAGTGTTTGTATATCACCTGGGTCTGTGCAGATGGGTTCTTCCCAGGAATTAATCCCAAACTAGCAGCACACCTAAATAAAACTTAAATCCTAGCAGCTTTTCATACTTTTTTTTTATTTGCATGTTTCCAGTTACAGGACAGGAACAGACTTGCTAATGGCATGTAACTGCCTAGCGTGAAGAAACACTGAGAGATGACTGACTATCACTTAATTTGCGGTTGTAAATGGTTTACAGATGAAGATACTCGAGAAGCATAAATAGAAAGGAAAGAGAAATGTATGAACTGATCGGTGCTGATCACCATGCATAATGTTGGCTCATTATATGAAAGCTTTATACAATACATTTTTTCATATATTGTAAATAGAAAGCTAGGTTTCCACTGAAAAACATTCATGAAAGGGTCCACAAATTGCATTTATTAACAAACTGAGACTGCCTGTGCTGCAAAGAAAAATTGATATTTTCTGGAGAGAGAGAAAAAAAAAAGTTTGTTATAGAAGAAATTTTCTGTTAATGATACTCTGCCTTCTGCCAAGCTCTGGTATTTTACATGGTTAGGCAATTATACCTGGCCCTGCAACAGAAAAGAGAGGGTGAAAGTCAAGGAGTTAAAAAAAAAAAAACTCACACCCCGATTCATCCTAAAATGAGAGCATGAGTTCTCCACTATGTAGCTCAGATCTGACCCAGAGACCATCAGTATCTAGTCTGTAAGATCTGGCCCATATTTCTGCTTTCATTTCAACACCCTGACATTATTTTTTAATGAAAGGGAAGAAGAAACACAGAGATACAGAAAGCTGCTCACATCAGCTGGCACATTCCCCAAGAGCTGAGTGGAACAGGTTGCTAATGCTAAGTATCCCACCAACCCTAGATACTACTGTGCATTTCTGAGACTCCTGGTTAGCACCTCACAGCTGCTGTCAGCACTTTTAAATGAGGCATCCCAGAAGTTTAAGGCCTCTGACAATACTAGCATGCAACATCAGTGAGATGGTAAGGATGAACGGTGCATGCACCCCTCTTTTTGTAGGATCTTGTGCTCATAATCTGTTCTGTAATGGTTTTCCTTTCTGGTTCTCCCCTTAGCCATCTATCTTTGCAAGCGGACCATGCAGAACAAAGCGCGGCTGGAGCTGGCGGATTATGAAGCCGTAGGTACTCTGCTGTGCGAGGTTCCGGGGCAGGGATGCTCCGGTCCGTGGTG